AATGCAACACTACATTATGTCTTGCAAGCAGCACAAAATGCATATTGTGTTTTGTGTCTTATTTTTAATTAGCATGTAATCTGAACGACTCAAAGTACTTACATTATAATTACTCTGATATTCAAAACTGGATTAACACACAAACACAAGCCAATCTGGCAAAGCACAGCTGTATGAATCACAACATTTCTTTCATGGTGCATCTAGTGTGTACTTCTTCAGCAGCAAGCAACAAGTTCCCTGAACTTTCTAACTAATAAGAAAACACTATTTTAGCATACATAAGCACACTATTATGAAAGAGAATTAACATTTCTGTATTTGAAAATAAATTGAACATCTGATGCTAGAAGAAATCAGTGAGATCTTCCAGGGCATTCAGTTCTGAACAAACTGTAATCCAACTCAAGTCACTGGGGGTTATCCAAATACACCAGTGGAGAAAGGATTAGATCAGAGATCATACTTTCGAGAATTTCATTTCACATAGAAAAATTTAGAATGTTATTCCTTAAGATACTGTCATCTGAGAATAGATGAGAAATCTTAAGTAGAAGAGAGTTCTAGGAACACTAATCCCTAAAAATAATTTGATTGATAAGGTCACAATATACAATAAAAAAAAAGAGTAGATTTTAAAAGATTACATTGTTTATAGGAAAGAAAAGAAATATTCATGCCATGCAATGCCTGTGAGTCTAAAATAAAAGTATGCTCAACCCAGACAACCCATGAGTGACTAGAGGTCTAGAACCAGAATGAAACTGGGTCTTCTAGCCAGTTTGAACTGGCAAATATTACTGAAAATGTTACAATGGGAATGAACATGAAAGTTGGCTCAATTACACAGCAAAGTCCCAACGCGTAAGAGGCCATTACTGAAAGAGTACTCCAGTGGAAAGCCCTCATGGTCAGCAAGAGAGATGTTACTCTCCATAACGTTCCATGTTATATTCCCAGAAGTAATTGATGCAAAAGTGAAAAAAGGAAATGAAAAGAACAAAAGACACATAACACTGTATTAAGCTCAGAAGGGAAGTTTTCCGTTTGTTTTAGTTTCTTACACTCCACATACACACACACAGAGTGTTTTCTATCCCTTTCCTGCGGGTAATTTGTGCAGTACAATCAGCAGCATTAAAAAGATCAAAAATACCAGGTTAATCTTAGTAAGAGGAAATAACACTGGCAACAAAGACAAAGCCTAACTTACTTTCCCCCATTTTTCTTGAGCACAATGAAATACACACCATGTCCCAGTAGAACTGGCAGTCACTAGTTATCAGCTTTACAAATTTCTGAGGTATTATATGTTCAGTTTTGTGGTTTCTTAATCTGTTTTAACAAATGGTGAGAGAGAAAACGAAAAAATAGGAAAAAATAGGGAGATAGAAGATAGGCACTTTGTATCCTCTATTGCTTCTGAATAACCACCTGCAATTGTGACGCTTGCAAGCTGAAAACTAACAAAGGCAAGAGTAGAAGTATGGAGCTTTCCTTCGAGCACTGCAACTTCTCCACCAACACCATAGATCCACAAAATCAGTCAAAAGAAGTTCCTAACTTTATGTTTCAACTATTGCAGCAGGCATTTATAAACAGAACAGAAGGAAACACAAGTGGTTTTTTCCATGCACTGGTAACTCCGAACTGAAACAAAAAACTTGTTCCAATTTGCCATTTAGCATAAGCTACTGAAAAAAACATTTTTCATCACCAGAATTAGTTATAAGCACCTGAAAAAGAAACTTAAAAAATGGAATGCAAGTTCCTCTTAACTCAAAGCTGTTGCCTATCCATACCCTTCTCCATAGATATATTTAAGTTGTTGCTACTTAGCTATAGCATTCACTAAAAAAATGATACTAGAAAAGTATCTGGTTTATGCAGATATTAAAGGTTTTCTTCCTACAGCTGTGCCCTCACAGCTACTTCCCTGCACCTCAAATGAATTGTGTTAGTGTGGTAATACAGCCTGCCAGTTGAGGAACAAAAAAATGCAGTAGACAAAAAACACACCCTTCCATATGGACATTTAACTAACTACTACTTTATACAATATCATTCAAAGGTTTATATCGATTTGGAACACAATTCTACAAACACTTAGCTGTCATAAAATTACTGAAACATGCAAAGCTTAACAGTGGGTCACCTGCAGGATCAAGTTGTAGGAAATGGAAGGTTGAGAATATTAGTTTTAAATACATTTGCCATTTGAAAGATTTTACTCATAAGATTTCTTGCAAGTATTCTGTTGATAAACTAATATTCTCTCTGTATGTGAGTTTTCGGGGGGGTGGGGGGAAGAAAATCCCATGCAGAATCAATAAAAACAACATTTCAACTAACTTCAGATCACAGTAATTAGTATTTTTGTAAATACTTAGGATAGCTTAGAAAAACCAAGATATTTTACTGAGGACTAAAAAAACCACCACCACTCTCTCTTCATCTGCCTATCGTTCAACACAAGTGTTTAGAACATTATGGTTTCCAGGAATTCAGTCCGTTAAGTAGTGCTTAAAGTACAAAATACTTGATCACAACTAAATTATGAATTTTAACGGCTACTGTGAAATCATGGTTGTGAATCTACTGAGCAGAACTATAATTTAAGCGCAACTGATCTAAGGTGAGCTGCTAGTTTGGAAACAGGTTGTAGATCAGCAAAATTAAGCTTTGTAAAACAAACCTCAGCAAAATGCACTAGACTTGCTGAAAACTCTTTTAAATTATTAACACCTACTGCTCTAAGTTCTATGGTAACATAATAATATATCCAAATACAAATAAAGGATGTGGGAGTCAAAGGAAAAATCTACATAGCATTATGCTCTTCTACATGATTGCAAGATAAACATCAAATAACTCCAAGGTTAACAATTAAAAGCCAACATCTCTAGTGTAAATTGACATAGTTTGGGTGGTCTGTGACTGACTGATAGTTTTAATTAAATCTGTATTCCTCTTAAGATAATCAGCATATTAAGTTCTATCACCAGTTATACTTAATACTGCTTAGGCAAGCATTGGCCATCACACAAAACAGATTATTTCTTTTCTGACAAACAAACATTTCTTCAAATCCAAGTAAATATTTTAAATATTCTTACTCAGTGGAAATACAGAAGCGTTTTATTTGTTAAATAAATATATATATATGTAGGTATACTATGAAAAACTTGGATATATTTTAAGACGGCTTTACTGCAGTGTTTTGGGATTTCATTTTAGGACTCCTACATTTTCTGCCTTCTCACATACAGTAGAAAAATAGTTGTGATCTTATAAAAACATAATTGTACAAAAGGATTCAAGCTCATTCCCTAATACTGTGGTTCAAAAATAGGTGTAGCACGTGTAACAGACGCAGCATATGAATAACCTTCTCACCTCAAACAGGATTACTCACAAGCTTAATATTACCTATAAATTTAAGCATTCGGGGAATCAAACCCTGATTCAACACTTAATTGCCGTTAATAATAAACCAATAGGCAGGACAAGCTGAAGTTACTCTTGATATTACTCCATATGGATGACAATCCATAGGAAACAGGTGATCCTACACAACTTCACAATAGAAAACTATGCAGAGATAACCTCTTTTTTTCTTTTCTTAAATAAAGTTGTTACCTTTTTTGCACTGTAATGCTCCAGCCTTTGCTATTTCCCAGGATCTGAATATGTCAGCATGGATTTGTTATAAATTGCCTAAATGGGAGAATCTGTAACTTCCTAAATTATGCAGTTTATAAAAAATGTCAGCTTCTGTCAGAGCCTGGAAAGTTCTTTTAAAGTGGTAACTTCATTTTGCGGTCCTGGCCAAAAGAAACAGCTGTCATTTTTTTTCTCCACATGGTTCATCCCTTGCACTTTATCATTTCTAAAGTCTCTTTTTTTCCAGCAAACAATAAAAATGTAACTTTCAACGTGCTCCTTACATTTAAGGAATTTCTTCAGGTCCTTCTAGTTTAATGAAACTGTGAAAACAGTTACTCTAAAGCACAGAAGATCTGTTTGCATAGCTTTCAAAGTCTGTACCAGTTCTGAAGTGAAAGGAAAATGTCTACTTCTTCCATTTATATGGCCAACAATAACTTCTACATTCTGACAGAATCATGTGTATACTGGCGGGGAGGGCACTTTCAAAATACTTTATCAGGAAGTCCACAATTAAATAAAATGCAGGCTCCCCAGATACTGATCCGAATAGATGCACAGGCTTCTTTGACTCCAAACTTCATGGCTGCTCCTTTGTTTTTCAAACACAGTTACTTTCTCCACCAAGAACAACACTTACGTTTTCCAGCGTAGATGACCACAATAAATGTAAACAATAACTAAACAGAAGTCTCTTGAAGGAGAGAACTAATATTTTTCTATCTGAAAAGAACTGAAGCCAGCAAACCCCTGGGTTTGTAACAAAGCACTCATCTGCTTTAGAAGAGTCAAGGCACAGGAAACAGTTCATTAACTCATTTACATTACACTCTAGTGGAATGTACCCCATCATCCGCTTAATAATGTAGTAGTCTCTTAAGCACATTTAACTGAAAACAAATTGCATCTTCTACTTTTGGACAGGGAACTCTTAATAGAATCAGTAATATTATGATATCTGTCGTCTACCTCTCTGTATTAGCACTGAAAGACAGTAAGACAAAATATTTGTTTAAATAAGCATATATGACAAAAGGAAGCTTGGCTTTCTTTGACGAAGGACTGCGAAATACAGGTCTCTAATGACTTCTAAAGTAATATCAAAAATGCATTTCTTTACTCAGCTTTCTTTTCTCTCCTTTGGACGCAGTGTGTGTTTTTTATTTATCTAACTCACCTCTGAATGCTTTATAAATCAGAAGCAAAATGCTAACAGATACATCACTAATTCCTGCTCTTTCCTCCCCAAGACACTTATAGACTCATTCTAAGAAACTACCTAAAAGATGCATACAAAATGTAGATATTACCAGATATTTTGACTGATTACTTACATCATACTTTGCAATTCAGGTGTAAAGCTTGTCGATTTTCTTCCAGTGCTTGAAGAGGCAATAGTTGACATCGGGCTTGCCACAGTGCTGCTCATCTGAGTAAATAAAGAAATAACAGCGTTTAAGATACTTGTATTTCATTTTAAAGAGAACATATGTATGCTTCACACTAGATATTCAGAAGGGAAGAAAAGATTTAGGGGTAGGCTTTAATGCAAAGAATCTGCATGCAAAAAGAAGCCTATCTGAGATACTGGTGAAAACATAAGGGAGTTGATGTTTACTTCAACTTAAGTATCAGAAATGTGCGCAGTTTTTAAAAATATCATCTCAGCAACCCGTTTAGAGGTACCCTAGGAGCACCACTGGAAAAGTATTGAGATAAAATTCATTATTCTGGTATTCTGGATTACACCAATACCTTGACACCCAGAACATCCTTTTATACTCCTGCAGTATCCCAAGCACTAGTAAATCCCATCCACACTATCTCTGCTGAGATTAAGAGGAGTAAAACAATCTCAGAAGAAGCTGGATAAAATCTGATGAGCACCAAGATCACATGCTTCCTTTCTTAAACACCAGCTTTATGTACGAATATTACTTAAGTCTTCAAAACAGAGCTGTGCTAGAAAGAGTGGGACCTGAACGTTATCATAGGACTTATATGACCAAAGGTACTACCTTTATGCAAAACATTTATGGCTTTCCTATACAAATTTCTCATTAAAAACTCCAAACCAAGACAGTTCTACTCTTATTCTATGAATTAACACATCTACATTTCCCTCTTTAATAAAAGCCAAGTCAAATGCCTTTAAATAATTTCATTTATAAAAATAACTTCACTTATTGAAACACTGAAAAAAATCAAAATTTACCTAATTTTGGAAAACTCTACGAACACAGAATAGGGATTTTTCATTTTTCCCTTCAAGAAATTTTTAACAAAGGCCTGCAGACACTATATAAGCCTCCTGATAATACTTCTCCTGAATATATTCTCACTGCATTTCTTCCTCTTCTATATTGCTGCACTCTAGTAACAGTTGAGTCTTATTGCTCATTTCTAGTACTATTAGTAGGAGCAGTAGTAATGACAACGAAAACCATACGTTAAGATAGTTTGCTTTGCTGTAAGGCCTCTAAAGAGATCCTTCCTTTCTCCACTTTTAAATTTATACAGTTAAGATAGATTTCTTTTCTGAAACACAAGTCTAAAAGTACATGACCAGATCTATATTAAATGCCATTAAAAGCATTGCAATCCATCACAAATATTATGCTTTGCTTTAATAGAGCTTGAAATACTCTAAATACAAAGTGTAAAATAATTTCAAAAATGAACAAAAGAATAACTGTTTTGAAAGGCTAATGACGTAACAGCATAAGGATGAACAGCAAAAATAAGGAGCTTATGCATTTAGATATAAGTTTACTTTTCTTATTAATGCTTTCAAGTAGATTTTCACAGACTCCCATTCATCTTCAAGCAGATTCTAATTTAGGGCCCCATCCTGCAAGCACTTATGCACATGTGTAACTTTAATCACAAGTTTACTCCCGCTGAAGTCTGATTTTAATCACTTAAGTAGTTACACACCAGGCTTAAGCATTAGCAGGATCCTGCCACAATCAGCAGTTACCAAAGACTCATATAATCTAAACAGTCAAATTAGCAAGTTACAAAACAAACAAACAAAAAAAGTAAAAAATATCTATAACATGAAGGAAGAGGATAGAGTATTTCTAGGAAAACTCTATGTACACATGGAAGGGAGTGAAGCAGAAGCTGCCATGGTACCCAGAACAGCCCAAAGACTTGGAAGTTTACATGGTTTTTACTGTTCACTGTTTGACTGGGACTGATTACAATTCATTTTAGTAGCTACGTATATCCAATATCACAGTATCAATATTCCTAAACTTAAATTAATAGACTGCAAAGTCTATATTTTACCCAGACCCTAGAGAAAGTAGTTAGGGGAACACCCCAGTTAATACTTTGTAAAACAGCTGTAGAAAAAGCCCTAAAACGTATCCATCATGTGTACTTTATAGTTTAAAAAACTAATATACAAAGACTTAAAGTTTTAACAAGTTTGGCATTTTGGGGATTGGTTGCTTTTTTTCCCCAACTAACTACATCATTCAAAGCATACGGCTATTTTTTATTTTTTTTTAAGTCCAGGGCAGACATTTTGCTTTATCCATGGGGTTCTGTTCTGCTAATTTATGAAGCATTCTCCCAAAAAACACGGGACATAATTCCATAGTTGCCCCCTCACAGCATAACATTTGCGATTCATGCATGTCCTGTTCTGGAGTAAAAAGTTTTTAAGGTTCCTACCCTCCAAGTGGACAAGAACAGTTTAATTAAAAAAAGTTGGAAGACTGTACATCTGCATAAGTACCAGCAGGTTTCAGAGTTGAAAGCTTATCAGCTACCGCTTCAACTAAAAACCTTGGTCTTCCTATTGCAACCAAATGATTTAACTTTCAAATCAAGCAGGTGTACAGCATTTTCTTGACATAAAAAACCAACAGCTTGTCAGGCTTCATCAGACCCTTTACAATAATTACTTCCACAGCCCACGTTTTGTTTGATGGTTTAGATAATTAACTTCTTTACACATCAAAGTCCCATCCTCCTTATGTTCTATTTCCTTTCTTCCGGACATTAAAAAAAAAAAAAAAAAGAAAAAAATCATTCAAAAGCAGAAGCACTCTCAAATCAATTTTCTTCAATAAGTACAGCTAACATGGAACTGAAAAGCCTACTGTAATCTTCAATGGGTCAATATACTGTATTTGTTTTAGCTCCCAACTGAAATGCAGCTGTTTGCCATATTCTACAAAATGAATTCAGATGTTCAGATTAGGTCACAGATTATTTCAACATGCTGCATTTTAATCATAAACTTTAGCAAGGAGAAAATAACTTCTGATTAACACTATTTGGACTAGTAATTACGAGTTCCTACCCAAATAGGTCCAGCTTCTACAAATTCTTTTCGGATAAGCAAAACATTGCAATCAAATACATAATAGGAACAGAACTTAACAGGTATATATAATTATTAATACAAGTAGTTAAAAGCATCTACTGTAATCTCAATGTCTTTTACATTGAAAAGTCATCACAGAAAACAGTAACTGTTCCATATGAATCAGCAGAACAAGAGAGTTCTCTGTTGATGGAAACAAATTCTGTCATTTCTTGTCAAGTTTAGGCCCATCCTTCTCACCAAGGTAAGATACCTTGGGCAGATTTTCAATTCACAGCCATCCTTCATACCCATAACCACCCCAAAAGCACCAGGCAATACTCACTCACATCAATGGTTGTCCAGTACATCTTTATCATCTGTACAACCCATCTATTTATTCAAGATCAAATTGAGAGATGTATAAAAATTGAAATTCTACTGCTCCTAAAACTTGAATTTAATATACAGGCTATAGATCCAGTCCATAAATGTAGAGCACCAAATTTCTGAGCTATTTCATATCATTTGGGACATACATAGGCATTCTTAAAATATATATACACACACACTCATAGTCAACACCTCTGTCTTTTGAAATGCTACTCAAAATACTTTCACCAGTCACCACTGCCAAAATGTCACACAAGGATCTAAGAGAATGGTGCATCCAAACAGTCAGTACAGAACAGTCTTCTAATACATATGTTCAGTAATTGACCTAAACTCAATCAGGAAAACTGAACATTAATATTACTACAGCTTTCACACACCGCCCCCCCCCCCAAAAAAAAAAAAAAAGACATAATAAATCTAAACTGGGTCAGTTTATAACAGGAGCGGAACCTCACACACCTGATGTCTCTGTTACAGGCTAAAAAAAGTGCAGAATTAACCAAAAAAACAGTGCCCCTGCATAAATTTTTGCATAAAATAATGCATTAGAGTAGAACTTACTATTATGATGACTAAATTCATCAAACTTAATTTATCTAGTGTGGTTACTGCATCAGTCCTCTCCTCTTGCCTTTCATAACTACATTTTGCATATAACCCGAAATCATGCAAAAATTTAAAGACTGACATATTTTCATTTATATAAACCCAAACAAACCAGGAAGGAAATAAAAGCCAAGATGACTATGAATTAACACAAAATTAAAATTAATGCTTTAGTTTTCACACCCTCTACTTCAGAGTAATTAGATTAACTAGTCTGTTACCACTGAGTATTTTACCGCACGCATGGCCTCAGTGGCAGGCTAGAGAGTATAAGATAACAGTCTTCTAGGACTGGAGGTGTAAGAACTTAATTAACTGCAGGAAATATAGATATTTTTTTTTTTGTTAGTGCACTTTCAAAAAATAAAAACACAACCATAAACACTGTTGAACACACGCACGCATGGCCTCAGTGGCAGGCTAGAGAGTATAAGATAACAGTCTTCTAGGACTGAAGGTGTAAGAACTTAATAACTGCAGGAAATATAGATTTTTTTTGTTGTTGTTAGTGCACTTCTTTTAAAAAACAAAAACACAACCATAAACACTGTTGAACACATGCAAGAGTGGCCTTCTAAGAGTAGGCTCAAACTTTTTTTTAACTAAAAAGTTAAAAAACCCAATAACCCATAAGCAAATACCTGGCTTTCTAAGAGTAGGCTCAAAATTAATTAAAAAATTAAAAAACCCAATAACCCATAAGCAAATACTGGAGTACATATATTTCACTGAATGTTTAGAGTTGGAAGGGACCATAGAGATCATCTAGTCCAACTCCCCTGCTGAAGCAGGATTACCTAGAGCATGTAATTGTTTCCCTGACCACTCACTCTCCCAGTAGCACGGAATAACTGAAAATGAAAACACTAGAGTATTAAGTCCTGAAATTCTCCTGAGCTATTGAAGCAGGCTGGAAGTAGAAACACCCTAAACAGTCTCGGATAAATGCACAGATGGCCTAGATTTTACAGCAAATTAATAATTCAAAATGTATAATGAAACTCCTTTATCATCCTCTAACCTGTTCAGGTTCAAAAAAAAATCAGCTTGTTTTGTAACAGTTAAGAAATGGCTTTGTTTATAGGCAATAGGAAAACTTCCGTATT